ACATCACGTGTGTTTGCTAGCTTGTATTCTTTAACCATGTTACTGACGTTGTTGATAATTTTATTAAAATTTGCTCTTACAATATCAAATCCACTATCTTGCCAGCATCTTCAGTACAGTTAGATTATTTGATCCTTTCAACTAGCAGCTCATAAAGCCTCAACTCATACGTTCCTAAAATACCTGATTTCATTAACAATACTTGAATTATTCTGCACTCCTAATCTTATTGTATGCTGCTAACTTCTTTTTACGTAATGCAGAAAGTAATTTTCTCACAGTATTGGAAAAATACATCTTTATCGCTTTTGCAGAATTAAGCAACTGTACATGGGTGTTTCTCTCATGTATGTCAGCTCTATCACCAGAATTACCCTACCTTCCATTCATCATCAACTCAAATTCTCTCAGCTTGTGCATATCTTCTAACTCTAGCTCTAAACTTTTTTTCTCTTTTTCTATTTCCAAGAGTTTATTCTCAGCTTCTAAGTGTTTCATTTCTAGCTTTATCTTAGTAAGTTCGAAATCATTACCATGATGATCTTCGCGAACACAACTCACAGTTTCACTAAGCTCAAGGTTAGAAAAATCACCTAGTGTGACTCCTGTCTCAATTAAAACTCCAAGAATCTCATCGTTTTTCCAATTATCTACATTTACTTAGAAAAATAACTTTTTATCGGTGATTCCAATTCTTATCCAAGCCAGCATTATTTATATGCTCTTAAACGATGAACCCATAGTTTATAAACAATAAGAAATAACTGAACCACCATCAAAACCAAAAGAGGCAAGATAAGAAGAAAAAAAACTTATTCTTTTTCAACAGTTCACTTTTTCACCCAGTTGAAATTCCTTACAGTAATAAAATTAAATATCACATACAGATTTCTACCTTTTATATAGAAAAACATTTCTTACTTTTTATCTCATACCAGTAGAAAACTTCGGATGTTTACTTTCTCTATTTCTACGTACAAATATTAAGGCTTTGCTTCTTACCACTTTTGCTTCACTTAAAAGATCTAGCTATGTTACTATATGAGACATGTGACGAATTTATTATTATATATCTATTTTAATATCGATGTTTGTTTAAATTAAATTTATATGTAGAAATGTACATAATTTGTATTGTTAGATATGTATTGCAAAACTCCCGCCTATTCTCTAAAGTTGTAGAAAATTCTCGAGTGTAACAATCAGCAATATATGTGTGTACGTGTACGCTAGTGT